AGTTACGGCCTTTCAGTACAGCAATGCTGCAGTTGAGTATATGGTGATGAACTCCACGGGTGTGTATTTGATCGGAGATGATAATAATGATGATAATAATAATAATGGTGGTGTGATTGTAATTCAGATGATCTTCAGCGAATTTAACGAATCTTCTTCGGGTTTTTGTATGGTGAAGTTGGATCCGCAAGGGGTTTTGCGTGTTGTAAAGATCAACGAAATGGTTGGATCGATTGCGAGAGAACTAATTACTGGCCCTGCCGACAGCTGTCGGATTCCGTCTATATGTAAGAGATTTGGTGTTTGTACCAATGGTGGTTCTTGTCAATGTCCACCTGGATTTCACTTAGGTCTAAATGTGAGTAATGGCGATTGTGTCCCTTCGAATGGTTCTTTGTCTTTGCCGATTCCATGTAACGGCTCATCATCGAACGGTGCCGTTATAAAGTATTTGAATCTAAGGGAGGATTTGGATTATTTCTCCAATGATTTCACGGATCCCGTGATCAATAATGTCAGTCTTTCTTTCTGTCAGGATCTTTGTTCTAGGAACTGTTCTTGCTCGGCCGTTTTCTACGGTCAGAGATTTGGATCGTGCTATGTGATCGCGGACTATTTGGGTTCGTTTCGGATTAAGTCGTTTGATGCAAATCGTTTGGGATATGTTAAAGCCGTTGAGGTAGGGAATATTCAAAGTGGTGATTCTTCACACAAGAAGAAATCCGATTTCCCGATTCTTATAGTCGTTTTGCTGCCATCGTTAGGTGCTATAGTCATTGCTCTCGTTGCAACTCTATTGTGGTGGTGGTGCCGAAGGCGAAGTACAAGAGATGAAGATATGGATTATCTCGTCTCGGTACCTGGTTTGCCGGTTCGGTTTGATTACAAAGAACTTGCAGTAGCAACCGCGAATTTCAAAACCCAGATTGGGTCGGGCGGATTCGGAACTGTATACAAAGGGACTCTGCTCGACGGAACCGATATTGCAGTGAAAGAGATCACTTGCTTGGGTCCACAAAGCAGAAGGGAGTTCCTAACCGAGATTGCAGTCATCGGCAAGATTCACCACGTCAATTTGGTCCGACTAAAGGGCTTCTGCGTGCACCGAGGGCAGAGATTCTTGGTCTACGAGTACATGAACCGAGGGTCGTTGGATCGCTCTCTTTTCGATGGTGGTGGTGATTCCGTTTTGGAATGGAAGGAGAGATGCGAGATTGCGCTCGGGGCGGCGAGAGGGCTAGCGTACCTTCACATCGGATGCGACCACAAGATCGTCCACTGCGACGTCAAGCCGGAGAACATCCTCCTCCACGGCGGCAACACAGCGGTGAAGATCTCCGATTTCGGGCTGTCAAAGCTCCTTACCCCCGAGCAGTCGGGGTGGTTCACCACCATGCGCGGCACTCGCGGTTATCTCGCACCGGAGTGGCTGACGAATTCGGCTGTTTCGGAGAAAACGGACGTGTATAGCTACGGAATGATGCTTCTTGAAATCATAAGCGGGAAGAAAAACTACTCGGTGCAAATGGAGGGCCACGATCGATCAGGGGACGGTGCGGACGAGGAGAAGCATTGGATATACTTTCCTCTGTTTGTGTTGGAGATGCACGAGCAAGGGCGGTACTTGGAGGTGGTGGACCCGAGATTGGGGGGTGGGGTAGGGGCGGAGGAAGTGGAGAAGATGGTGAGGGTGGCGTTGTGCTGCGTGCAAGGGGAGCCGAGTTTGAGGCCTACGATGTCGAATGTTGTGGGGATGCTGGAAGGTTGGTTGGCTTTGGGGGAACCGAGGATCGAGTCTCTCGATTTTTTGAGGTTTTATGGTCCGGGAAAGCGGGGTGGTGATGAGAATGATAATGGTTCCATCTTGTGCAGACAACAACCTAGGACTAGTTCTTCTTGTACCTCTACCTCGTACGACTCTTCCTCTTGCATGTCATCATCTCAACAAGTCTCTCTTGTCCAACACAATAGTGTATAAACTAGAATAGCATACTACTCCCTTGTATAAAATCGATAATAGCATTTTGCACCATCAAAACACAATAAATCACTCATAATTGCACTATAAATTGAATAATAAAGGAAATTTCATTTTTTCGGGGAATGCAAAATAACAAATTAAATTGTTATTTTCTTCAACCTCCAACTTAATTTCGAGCGCACAAGGTACAAAAAAAAAAATCACACTGGATTATTGAAAAATTTTGAAAAAAATGCTACATTAGGTAATTGATGGATTTTTTATTGTAACTGATGGAAATATTAGGTAAAATATTTGAAAGAAACGTATAATTTTCGTATAATTTTCATATAATTTGATAATGAAATAGCTGAATGAATTTTTTTCGTAAAATACTTTTTTTTTGTGATAAAATATATAATTTTTAAATATGTTGATGAGATGTATTTTTTTTGCAGTTTTTCAGTTTCAAAATGACAGTTGAATAAAAAAAATAATTTGACATTTGTCGTCCTAGAAAAAATACCACTAAAAATATTAAACTATCTTTATTAGCTTTAAAAATTCATTTGGGATGCATTATGCACGATTTATTGTGTTTCGATTTCCAATGTCCAAACTCCTATTAGTTCGTTTCGAGTATGCAAAATACCAAAATGATATATTTAAAGGGTGTAAAGTAGGATTAAGCCAAAATAATACCCAAAAAATGATATTTCAATGAAAATAAAGGACTAGAACGAAAATAAACATAATTCTCAGTCTCACCTCTCTCATATTTTTTTTTTCTCACTCTCCACTTCCCTAGGAAATCTGCATACAAATTCTTGAACCCATTAACCATTTCCGCCGATTCCATGATTTTCCGACACAGTAACCACTAATTCAAGAAAAATCCTTACTCGACATGGGAAAACTTCCGTGCGCACTTCTCTTCTTCCTCCTCTTCACAAACCCCGCATTCTCTTGGAAAAAGGAGGAGTTCCGGAACTGCGATCAGACCCCATTCTGCAAACGCGCCCGATCCCGACAACCCGGCGCGTGCCCGTTAACCGCCACCGATGTCTCCATCTCTGGCGGCGATCTCGTCGCTAAACTCGTCGCCAAAGAAACCAATCAAGAAACCCCCACGAAGCCACTTGTTCTCAAGATATCCGCCTATCAAGATGGGGTAATGAGGCTCAAGATCGACGAGGACCCAGATTTAAACCCTAGGAAGAAACGATTTGAGGTACCCGATGTAATCGTACCAGAATTTTCCGACAAGAAGCTATGGCTGCAGAGCTTGAAAGAAGAAGAAGAAGAAAATTCAGGTTTAATTTCGGTCGTATATTTATCAGATGGGTACGAAGGTGTAATTAGGCACGACCCTTTTGAGGTTTTTGTTAGGGAGAGGGGTGAAAATGGTAAAAAGGTGCTGTCTTTAAACTCGAACGGCTTGTTCGATTTCGAACAGATTAAGGATAAAAAAGACGAAAACGAGGATTGGGAAGAGAAATTCCGAACACACACCGACTCTAGGCCGTACGGGCCGCAGAGCATCAGCTTCGATGTGTCGTTTTACGGGGCTGATTTCGTGTACGGCATTCCCGAACATGCCACTAGTTTGGCCCTAAAGCCGACAAGTGGGTCCGGAGTGGAAGCTTCCGAGCCCTATAGGCTTTTCAATCTCGATGTGTTCGAGTACATTCACGATTCGCCTTTCGGTTTATACGGGTCGATCCCTTTCATGATTTCGCATGGGAAATCGCGCGGAAGTTCCGGTTTTTTCTGGCTCAATGCTGCCGAAATGCAGATAGACGTTTTCAACGGTAACAATTCGAACGAATTCTTGAAGTTGCCTTCCGATCAGAAGAGGATCGATACATTGTGGATGAGCGAAGCTGGTGTGGTGGATGCGTTCTTTTTCGTGGGTCCCGCTCCGAAGGATGTTGTAAGACAGTACACGAGTGTGACGGGCCCCACCGCTTTGCCGCAGCTGTTTTCCATTGCTTACCATCAATGCAGGTGGAATTATAGAGACGAGGAGGATGTATATAATGTCGACTCGAAATTCGACGAGCATGATATTCCTTACGATGTTTTGTGGCTCGATATCGAGCATACGGATGGGAAGAAGTATTTCACGTGGGATAAGATGCTGTTTCCAAACCCTGAGGAGATGCAGAATAAGTTGGCTGCGAAGGGGAGGCGTATGGTAACTATTGTGGACCCTCATATTAAACGGGACGATTCGTATTTTATCCATGAGGAGGCTTCGAAGAAGGGCTATTATGTGAAGGATAAAACTGGGAATGATTTCGATGGGTGGTGTTGGCCTGGTTCCTCGTCGTATTTGGATATGGTTGATCCGAAGATTAGGTCTTGGTGGGGTGAGAAATTCTCGTGCAAGAATTACGTGGGGTCCACTCCGTCTTTGTATATCTGGAACGACATGAACGAACCTTCCGTGTTCAACGGGCCCGAGGTAAAACCTTTCGAGTGCGATTCTGTCTTGTTTATTGTGCTTGCAAATTTTGTTCGTTTCGAATTTCGATGATACCTTGCCCCGTTTTCTGATGGCATTTTGACTGAAAAATTTTTTAGTGAAAAAACGGGACTTCGAAAAAATTTGCAGGACAAAATGAACAAAGTTTAAAAGATGATCACTTTACTACCGTGGCTTTAATTTCTGACGAGGGTCTTTTTTCTTTTCTTGATTAGGTTACGATGCCGAGAGATGCGTTACACTACGGAGATGTAGAGCACAGAGAGTTGCATAACGCGTACGGCTACTATTTCCACATGGCTACAGCTGAGGGGCTTGCTAAACGAGGGAAAGGACAAGATCGTCCTTTTGTTTTGTCGAGAGCATTTTTCCCAGGAAGTCAAAGATACGGAGCCGTTTGGACGGGAGACAACACTGCCGAATGGGAACACTTGCGTGTTTCCGTTCCCATGATTCTCACACTTGGTCTTACGGGAATGTCCTTTTCTGGTTAGTCAATTTTTTTTTTCTTCTTTCTTTCTTGACAATACTTTATACGAGTTTATTGCATTTAGTACCCTTTATGTGATATCGAATTGCTAAAAAAGTCCTCGCTTTATTAATATTAGCAAAAAGAACCCTTTTAAAATGGTGAGGTTGTAGGGGGTAGTTTGCTAACAAAGAGTGCATTTTTTGAGTTAATTTATGCTATTTTATTTAAAAAAGATACAAACTTTTTTTACGTATTTTTTCGGTACTAATTTATGTACTTACATAGGGGCTGATGTTGGGGGTTTCTTCGGTAATCCCGATACGGAGTTGTTGATTCGATGGTATCAGTTGGGTGCCTTTTATCCCTTCTTTAGAGGTCATGCTCACCACGACACCAAAAGACGTGAGCCTTGGTTATTCGGGTATGCTTACTCTTTTCATTAATGATTTTTTTTTTAATAATTAATGATTTTACTTTGATTAGTGTTTTTATCTAGGTTATAATTATCGGAGGTCTCTTTTATAATCGATGGAGAGTTGAAATTCAAAATTTCGTGATGATATGTTCGTCTTACACATTTTATTCCATGTTTCGATGGATAATTTACTGTTATCCTCTTCCTTTCAGATATTATTGACGTGTTCTAAGTATTACTATTATAGTGTTAGTTTTATCCAATTTCAAATTTCAATGCAGTCAAAACACACGTAAAAGACCACTTCATTTGTCGTTTCAATTAAACATGCTTACAAAGATAAACGGAATATGGACATTCTTATCGTATATGTAATACGTTTTTTTTTTCTGCTATTTTTTTAAATTGTTGCTATCGTTTATTGGCGATGAAATCTTATGGTTTAAGCAGACAATGTTCTATTCTCGATGAAATTTTTCGCACTTGTTGAAATTCCTATTCTCGTTTTTCAAAATATGTTCGAAAATATTCTCTCTTTTTTTTTCTTCTCATGTGTGATATTATTGGTGGTTTACAGAGAACGAAATACGGAGCTCATGAGGGAAGCAATACACGTACGGTACATGTTACTCCCGTATTTCTACACATTATTCAGAGAGGCGAATTCCAGTGGGACCCCCGTTGCACGTCCACTCTGGATGGAATTTCCGTCCGATGAAAAGACATTTAGCAACGACGAGGCGTTTATGGTCGGAAACAGTCTTTTGGTACAAGGAATATACACCCAGGTCTCTCGTTTTTCCCCTTTCGTAATAATAAACTTCAACAAATTTCGAATCATTTTTTGGTATATTAGCTCTTTAAGTTAATTGATTATTTAAAAAAAAAAAATTTGCAACAGGGAGCTAAACACGCGGAGGTGTATCTACCTGGGGATCAGCCTTGGTACGACTTTAAAAACGGGAATTCTTACAAGGGTGGAGAAACGTATAAGCTCGATGTTTTAGAAGACAGTGTGCCTTCTTTCATACGGGGTGGTACTATTTACCTAGAAAGGACAGATTTCGACGTAGCTCTACTCAAATGGCAAATGATCCTTACACTCTGGTATCTATCTATCTCTCTCTCTCTCTCTCTCTCTCTCTCTCTCTCTATATATATATATATATATATATATATATATATATATATATATATATATATATATGTATGTATATATATATATATATATGTATGTATGTATGTGTATGTGTATGTGGTTTATAAATACACTCGGAAACTCCCATGTGTGGGCCCACACACAAACGTTCCTGTTCAAATTCTGTCAAAAATTATGCAGTTTGAAGACTTGGTGTGAATAGGGGTGGAAATTCGAACGGAAATTTTCCGAACTCCGCCGATTTTGATCCGAAAGTTTCCGATTTTGAAACAATAATTTTCATTCCGAAATTTCTGATTTCTGGTTTTTTTGCAACGGAATTAGAATACATATTAGATTCCGGTTTCCTATCCGATTTTAATTGCCATAAACATTTCCGAAAATTACACTTATAATATCAATAATAACATGTATTTCGTATTACAGGTTACCAAAAATTTGGAATTTCACATTTCTGATCCTAAAAATTTCCGATTTTGGAACAAAAAATTTCATTCCAGTTCGTAAAATTCCCGATTTCCAGTTTTTTCTGATTTTTTTTTTTGAAACGAAATTATATTTAGTTTTCCACGTCCGAGAAAATTGTCCATCCAATTTCCACCCGAAAGCGTGAAGGACTATAACTTAATATCTTTACATTTTCCGGATAATTCTCACAGAAGTAGTGCAATTTTTTAAGTACATTTTTTTATTTCGCGTACGATTATAAAATACTATCGATACTGAATGGACATTTTTACCCTTGGCAGGTTATAGCTCTAAATCAATCCATGTCAGCAGAAGGAGAGCTATACATAGACGACGGTAAAAGCTTCGAATTCCAGAAAGGCGCGTACATACACCGCCATTTCACATTCTCAAACGGAAAGCTCACTTCCTCGAATATGAGGCCTGACGATACGACAGCTGGCAACGGCAAATTTGAAACGGAGTCCACTGTGGAGAGAATAATACTGTTGGGCTTATCCAATGCACCTAAATACGCCGTTATTGGACCGGCCAATCAGAAGGTAGAGATTGAGATGGGCCCACTCCTGCTTCGGGGAGGAAGAGGCCTGTCGGTCCCGACTATTCGCAAGCCTGATGTAAGGATTGGTGATGACTGGACCATTAAACTTTTGTGAGAATCTTCTTGAAGGAAGGAATATTCCTTTTTCTAGAATTTTTGAACTCGAGTCACTCTGGACAACAATTTTTAATACAGAAGAATATTTTGGACCTTTTTTTTGGTTAATTTTTAGTATTTATAGGTTAAATTCTTCAGTTGGATTGCAGTTCTTGGTATTGACAATTCTTTTCTTAGCTGGTTCTGGCCCTTGTTGGTAAAAAATAATAAATAAATAAATAAAATAAGGGGCGATTTGTTAAACATCTCTGAACACTAATACCCTTTCAAATTAGGACAACCGTATTTTTGCATTTTACTAAGAGTTTCTTGGGCAGTTTAGTTAGAGAACTTAGACAAAAAAAAAGTTATTTTAGACTGAAAGAACTTTATTATCTTTCAAATTATTGGTTTTTACTTTTTAAATCACATCCACTCCAAATAATGGCATTTCTTCTACTGTTCCGCCTTCCCCTACTAGCCCAATGCCGCCGACCGCCTAATTTCCGTAACAGTATCGTTGGAAAAACGTTATTTTCATCTAAAATGTGCGTTTTCATTCCAAATTCTCCAACTAAACTGTCCATTTTCAGTGTGAATAGTCTATAATCAGTTTAAACTCTTCAACTAAATTGTCTATTTTCAACTTAAGTTGTCGAACTAAGCTGTCCGGAGGGACTTCTAACGAATTCAAAATATCGAACGAATTGTTAGTTATACAAGATATTTTTTAGGGACTTTTAGCCAATTTTCCAATAAAATGAGATACAGTTAAACCTCTATAAATTAATACAGTTGGGATCATCAAAATTTCATTAATTTAGCGAAATATTAACTTATCGATAAATTAATAATTATTAATTTATATATTAATTAAAAACTTATTAATTTATGAAATTATTTTTATTATTATTTTCAGTAAATACATTTATTTTTATTTTTTACGTGTATATTATTCGTTGTATTATTAGTTCAATACACTATAGAGCATGTTTCACAAACCGAAACTCTTAAAGCAACAATGGTATTGAACAATTTTCTGTTGAGTTATGAGAAAACTATACAAAAAATGCTAACCATATTAAGAAAAGTGAGGGATGGGATTGATGGTAACGTGAACTTCATCAAGAAACAAGCAACAATTAAAATATATTTCATTGAGCCTTCGTAGATCTATAAAATATGTATTGTACCATGTAATTTAAGAATTATTTTTATGCATCATTAATTTATATATTATACGGGGCTTCTTAAAATTTCCGAATGTGTATTATCTTATAAATTTAGCGAATTATTAATTTAGCACGTTGTTCTCGAGTCAGAACCGGGAAAATGTATTATTTAAGCGATGTTATTAATTTATCGGGTATTAATTTATCGAGGTTCTACTGTAATTTTTTTTAGCTTATGAATTGGTCTTTCAGTGTATACTATTTTCTGCAGTGCACAGGGTATAGTTTCATTGAATGATTGAATAGAAAACGACACGTTATGTTCAGGGATGGCAACGGGTCGGTTCTGGGCCGCGTTTGCCTAAACCC